AAAAAAAAAAAAAAAAAAAAAAAAACTCTCACGCATGCATTAACTTTTGAATGTCGCTTTAAGAACGGAGATTATCGAATAATAGAAAGTGATCTCAAATTTAAAGTTGACGTAGATTGTTAGATTATTTACATACAAATTGACGATTGTTGATCAAAAGCTTTATTACCTTTGTTTTATATTATCGGAATTCATGTCCTTACTTACACGAGTATTTACACGTGCTTTTAAAATGGAAAAGAATCTCAATGTGGTGTAATAATATAAGGGTAATTGTTGATCGATAAAAGATAAATTACGTAAATTCAAAACATTCGCTTTCACGTGATAAATGCGTCCTTATATATTGAAATAAAAATACTGTAATAGAGCTAGCTTCAAGTGTATTACTCAGCCAATACCCTAAATCGAAATCTCAATTTCTGTCATATGATGATTATGTTCATTATGGGGAAAAGTATAAGGAATTTTAAGTGTCACCTTACTTATTTCCTATTGTCAATTAAAAGTAAAACTCTACCATGCTTATAATTTTATTATTTACAAGCGAGATAATTAAAACTAGGAATCTCTTTGAAATGCCTCATAGTTTCTCTTTTTTATAATTATATATATATATATATAAAGTGAAATTTGTGTTTTGACTTACAGTTTTAATTATAATAATATATTATATATTAATTATTAAGAATATAAAAATCAATTTTTATAAAGATTATTATGCAGCTAAAACTAAAATTAATAATTTAGTATTTTTTACATTATTTAAATTAAGAATTAATATCACATATAGATATAAATATTAAATTTAATTATTATAATAAATTAAAATTAACTAAAATTTATATATTGAAATTAAATATAATTTATATAAGATTAAAATTCTTAATTTATGAAAAAGTGAAAAAATACTATAGTATTATGTAAAGTCAAAATTTAAAATTACTATATGATTTTTTATCAATGAAATTTGTATTTACAAATATACTTTCAATTTATTAAATAAAGCTTAAAATTTATAATAGTTTTTATTTTCTAATATAAAAATTTTTTAATAAATATAATTTTAAAAGAAATATATAATATATATTAAATAAAAATTTTACAACTAATAATTATTATATAAATAAATATAGAATCATTTTAGTAATTACCAAAGGTAAAATTTGTCAGAAATGATTTTTATTATATTTTGAAATATCTTTTAACGAAACTTATGTTTGGTTTTTCTTTTTTTAGATGGGTAGTTCTTATAATCTTGAACACAAAGTCTTAAATATCATAGGATTTCAAAAAATAAAAAATAAAATTTCAGATTTTTTTAATATACATTAATAACTAATGTTTTTTTCTTTCTTTTTATTAACCAGTTTTTTCAGGTATTTGGATATGAAATATATTATAAATAAAAAAAATATTTTTTTTATATTTTAACTAATAATATTAAAATGTTTATTTTTTTTCTTTTTTAGATAACTTTTAGATATTTGAATGTACAGATTTTAATAGAGTTTTTTATTATTAATATTAATGAACTATTTTCTAATAGTAGTTTGTCTCTTCTTTTTTTTTAGGCAGCCTGGAATGTAAATTTTAGGTAAACTTAATAAATTTTTTCTAAAATATGAATTTGGTAAATTTTTAGTGAATTTTAATAAGTTTCTTTCTTTTAATTTTTATTTTAACAAAATTTTACTAGAAATATATAAAATTTTGGTAAGTTTTTTTTTCCTTTCAATTTAATTATTTTAACAAAATGATTTACTAATATTTCAATATTTCTTTTTTTTAAATATATTGGAATTTGATAGATGGGTTTCTTTATTTTTTTTTATATTTTTGCAGTAACAAAATATTTATTAATGTTTTAAAATTTCTCTTTTTTAGATGAATCTGAACATATGAAATTGGCTTTTCTTTTTTTTAAAATCATTCAGTTCACTTTAGATACATGGAATTTTGATGATTAATCATATAATATAATGTAATATTATAAAAGTTTTTTTTTTTTAATAGTTTGTTTTTTATTTTGTAGACAGTTAGTTCTTTAGATTTTGAAAGGTGTATATTGAGTTTTTCTTTTTAAAAAAAATCTTTTTCAACAAAATAATTATTAATTTTTATTAATTTTTTTTTTTAAATAACCAGTTTTTTAATAATGTTATAGTTAGCTACTGAATTCCCAATTGCTGATTATCTGAATTCAGTTTAATTGCAGAAAATCTTCTGAAATTTCATGACAATCTGCATCTGAGTCAAATCCAAATCATATTATATGTCATTATACTAAGCTAATTATACCATTATAGTTTTTTGAATCTGATGGATGTTAAATTTTTTTTTTTAAAAAAAAAAATACAATTTTTTTTAGTAGTCAATTTTTCAATTTTTCAGATTTCAAGGTAGATATTGGGTTTGATTTTTTAAAAAAAAATTTTTTTTAATAAAACAATTACTAATATTTTATTATTTTTTTTTTTTTGAAAAATATCAAATTTATTTTTAAAAATTACTTTTACTTTTTTTAGATGACCAATTTATTAAATCTTAAAGTATATATTTCTAATTAGAAATGTTGAGATTTGAAAATAATAAGTTTTTTTGTAAATTAAATCAATTTTCTTCTTTTTTAATGGAAACCTTAATTAATGTTTTTTTGCTTTTCTTTTAAGTTTCAAAAAATCTAATTAGAATATTTTCTTGAAAATTTAATGTACTTTAAAATTAAATTAATATATAGATTTTATATAGATTTAATTAGATTTCAATAATTATTAATTTAATTTATTTATTTTTTTTTGTTGCTGCAGCATATTTATTAGTTTATTAAAATTAAATTCATGTCAATACATATACGAGTAATACAACATAAATTTAAACTAATTTGATAACTAATAAACCACTCAAGAACTTTACGTGTACACTGTCAGGTAAATTTGGGACTATAAGAGTAAGTCCAATGTATAATTATCTTTTCTTAGAGGGGATGCCCCTCCTTTCAGTCTCAGTCCTAGGAAAATTCAACAAAACCTACTGTAATACAAACGAAAAAAAAGGATTTTAAACAAAAATAACAGGATAAAAAAAAGATTAATAAAATTTAGACTAGATGGCGAGTGTTCTAACATCCTAAAACTCCAATTTGGCCCAGTCCTCCCGTCAGTTAGCCAGTGATCTTAGCAATGTTCTAATTTCAGCTAAAATTAAAAGTTTGTTGTTGCTGTCGAAGCCTTTATTTTTTGAAGTAGATTGCTTTTTTTTTCCTAAAGACTTCCTCTTCTGTTTCTGTCCATCTAAGTCCTTTTGTGAAACATTTAAATTCTTGTCTTAGTTCCTGAATAGAATTCATCTTCTTTGATGGCTTATTTCTAGGCCAATTTAAGGTGAGCAAAAAATATCGAGTTTAAACATCTTTAAATTTTTCAAAGTTAAAATCTGTATTAAGTGCTTTATCCAGGCTTGCCTAAGTGTCAAAATACGCAATCAACTTCCTATGCCCATGATCTTAAATAATTTTGAAAGCTAAAGCACTATCTAATTGCACAAATGGGCTGATTTGTCTTTTTAT